CCCCGGCGGTCCCGGCGGGCCATGGCGGTGCCGCCGGCCGCGCTGCCCGCCTCGCTGCCGCCGCGGGAGCCGCTGGAGCCCGGCAGTCCCTAGCGCAGGCTGCGGGCTTTCTGCAAGTCATCGGGGCCGGCGGACGCTTCCCGCGCTGCCCTCCCGCTCCCCCAGCCCAGCGCATCCACTCGGGAATTTTTGGGTTTGTTGTTTTTTTTTTTTTAATTTTATTTTTTTATTTTATTTTCCTCCCCCGTGCTGTATGTATTGGTTTTCCTCGTCACCCGCCACGGTTAACTTCCCTGTGACTCGGTTTAACTCTTGAGATCTACGTGGATGTTGCTAAGAGCACTTCTCTTGCCTTTGCTGTCCCTTGCTGGGATCGGATTCACACTACCCGGACCCTGTGTGCCTGTATGTGTGTTCTGAGTGTCTTGACATTTTGGTTCCTTTACAAGAGCTATGCATTAATTGTAACCAAGGTAAGACTCCCTGTTTTTGTTCCCTCGTGTGCATGTCAAATTTAAACGTTTCTTTAAAGATGAAGTATGCATATTCTTTTAAACAGTGGAGTCATATGTAGCCCTTCCATTGATGAATACTTGTGAAAAAGAAGCGTAGAACTTGCAAAAAAAGAGACCTATTTAGCAGGAGATCTAGCTTGGCTGTACAAACTGCTCTGCTTTGCTCTGTTACAGCTGCTGTGATGCTTAGAAGAGTAATTTGTGCCTTATTTTGTTTTCCCTTTTGACAGACCTGTGAGTGACCATAGGCTTGGCTTGACCTTGATTTTGATGGCTTTGTTGGAAGATCTAATGATGTGATTGCATTTCATGAGGTGATTGCTCTCCAGCCTCCGTGGCTCAGAGTATAAACCGCTTCTGCCACACTGTCACTCATGGACAATTCAGATTTTTTTTTTTAAACAAACCTTTTGGCTATCCTTATTTTCTCACTCCTCCTTTCCCTGCTGTTTCTCCTTAATGCTGGGAGCCTTATTCTACCCTCTGATGTGATTGATAGTCCTGCTGCTTCGTGCTGCTGATTTCTGGTTTAAAATACAATGGCTCTAAGTGGCAACTGCAGGACTTACCTGCCTCCTCGGGAGCAGGGGACTGGACTGCACTCCTTCCCAGAGGTAGTGGAGCTCAACGTGGGTGGCCAGGTTTACTTCACTCGCCACTCCACCTTGGTTGGCACCCCTCACTCCCTGCTGTGGAAAATGTTCACCCCAAAGAGAGACACAGCCAACGATCTGGCCAAGGACTCCAAGGGAAGATTCTTCATTGACAGAGATGGTTTCCTTTTCCGCTATATTCTGGACTATCTCAGGGACAAGCAAGTGGTTCTACCCGACCACTTCCCAGAGAAGGGAAGGCTCAAAAGGGAGGCTGAGTACTTCCAGCTCCCAGACTTGGTCAAACTCCTGACTCCCGATGACAACAAGCAAAGCCCTGATGATTATTGCCACAGTGACTACGAAGAGGTCTCCCAAGGCAGTGACACGAGAATATGCCCACCCTCATCGCTCTTACCGTCGGATCGGAAGTGGGGATTCATTACCATTGGGTACCGGGGGTCATGCACTATTGGCAGGGAGAGCCAAGCAGATGCCAAATTCAGGAGGGTCCCAAGGATTTTAGTTTGTGGAAGGATTGCTCTGGTCAAAGAGGTCTTTGGAGAAAGTTTGAATGAAAGCAGAGACCCGGACAGGGCTCCAGAAAGGTACACCTCCAGGTTTTATCTCAAGTTCAAGCACCTGGAGAGGGCTTTCGATATGTTGTCCGAGTGTGGATTCCACATGGTGGCCTGTAACTCCTCGGTGACAGCTTCCTTCATCAACCAGTACACAGACGACAAGGTCTGGTCCAGCTACACTGAATATGTCTTCTACCGTAAGTACAGGACGTTTCAGAGGGAAATGTAACTCCCTCCTTTAAGCTGCTCTCTTCCGTTGACCGTACAATTCCCAAGGCACAAAGAGTACCGATTTCCTTGTGTCTGCTGCAGATTAAGGCTTTATTTAGATCTAGGGGGATACATTTCAGTTTAAGCTTTGGAAATGCAAACCGGGGCTGAGCTCAGCGGGTTGGCCTTGGCTAGGTGGCAGCACAGACTGCCGAAAGCACCCCGTCCGCCTGCCTGGAGGATGTGTGCCTCTAGCTGTGTAAATCAGCCAGCTGAGTGCCTTGCACACTTCCCGGGATGTGTGGGACACAAGATGAGCCTTGCAAACACGCTGCGGAATTAATTACAGAAAATCTTCAAATGGGAGTCACTTTACAAAGGTAATAGCAGCTTGATAATTGTCAAGCACAGTCAGCCAAGCCATCTGTCAGCAGACCTGACACACTTCCACACAGGGAAGGGAAAACACAATCCTGTCCCTCTGGCTGCGTTTCAACGGGGCCTCTTTGGAGCCGGCTGCTGTGCTCTGAAATGGGGGCTCAGTGCAGAGAGGGGCAGGGTGCTGTGCCTTGTTATGCAACATGCCTGTGGAAAACCAACTGTCCTCATCCACGAGGAGTGTGTGCCCTGCTTCCTGCAGTCACATCAGATCTCACTCTGCTGTGCTGATTTGAGCCGGTAGCGCTGCTGGGCTCATTAACTTCCTAAGCTGATACTCAGGTAGAGGCTGGTTACCATTGGTAACGTGAGGGTAATTTTTATTCTATAAGTCTGTATCAAAAAATCATTCCACAACTTCTGTGCTTAAATATTTGAGAGGCTCATGAGGCTTTTTCCCTCCATTTTCATTTGTGGAGGGTGAAGGATGGAACAATTCCTCAGTCTGTCTGTAGAAATGGGCTTTATCCAGCTGCTGCTTTGGCCTTGGGAGAGGGATAGAGGGATAACGCTTGGTTGGCAGAGCTGCTGTGCTGGGTGTGTGTGGTGCTCACAGTTAACAGGCTCGAGGCGTGGGGAGCTGACAAAAGTTTTTGATGTAAGATGTATCAGGAAGTGAACAGTTTGGATGTAATTCCGTGGATTCAGCACACATCTACTCTTGTGTGGGGCTCAACAGGCAGCCCTAATCTGCTTATGTAATGAAGCTTAAGTTAGCATCCTGAAAAGCCATCTGGGTTTTTGACATCCATAGATTTACTTAAAATTAGTTTTCTAGCTGGATTTCTTAGCAAAATTGTTCTAAGGTCATGGATCCGCTTATATTCCGACAGGGATGGATGATTTATGTTATTAGGCAGCTTCTGCTTGAAACTCATACAAGTTCTAGGAGGAGAACTAATGTAGTTAAAGGAATGGATTAAAATAAATTGTGTTTGCATTTATATTTCAAATCAGAAAAAAAAATGAATTCCATATAGGCACAATGGTTTTTACTAATTGAAGAGAGAATGAACATGGGTTTTGCCTGAATTAGCAAACACAGACTCCTGATTTTCACGTTACTCAAATTTTTATCTTCAGGGGTTGCTCTCACTGCTTCCACAGTGCCACAGCCATGGTTAGTGACTTTAGAAATTTTGGAGAGTGAAAGTCTACAGCAGGCATCACAAAATCTTCTCTCACCAGTGCAGGGAAAGCCCAATCCAATTAAAGTTCCTGGAAAGACTCTTACCCAGTTCAATAGGCTTTGCATTTGGTTCCTATAAGTTTTGTGGATTTTTGACACTGATACAGTTTCAGAGATGGATTTTTCAAAGGGTTCTTTCCTAGGTAAAATCTAAAGCCATGGCTGTGATGCCAAATGAGTCTCTCTTTTCTTGATCCGTTCTGTTACTCTTCGAACCATTTGCTGCTGCAATGGAGCCATGAGTGGGCTGCAAGGTTCTCCAGCCACATGCTCAGGTCTGGCTGCAGCTGGTCCCCCTGAGAACAGGCACAGAATTCACCTGGAGCAAAAGAACCCCCTTTCCAAATTTCCCATAATAATTTCATTCAAAATTTCCTGAAACCATTTTGTTTAAAATTTTGAGGACCAATAAAATTGACATCTGGCTTTCCAGTGGAAGATGACATCTCCTTTGCAGCTGCTTAGCCATATTTATTTATTTAGAAGCTGCCAACTGTGTCTATATTGAGCATTAATTCATCAAGATGTTGTGATCAGGTTAATGGGCCTAAACCTGGGAGGTGTCTTACACCACTGGTGAGGCAAAGGCAGAGGTGGTCCTTGCAGAGCCACTGAGTAGCTCCTGTGAAAGGCCCATTGGAGGGACTCTTCCCAACTGGGATTAGTTCCAAAGATGGAAGAATAGAGGGAGGAATATTTTTTTGATACACCAAATACATTGTATGCTCCAAATACCACGTGGAAGGTAAAGGCTAGTGTGAAGATAAAGAACGTTCTTGATGTGCAAATTCATCTGAAAGTAGCTCAGATGGGTCAGAGAGGGTGTGAACTGAGCAGCTTCTCACACGGGTACAGCATGTGCTGTAAAATACTGTACCATCAATATTGCATGAGGTTTTCTCCCTGTGTTCAAATTTAGGTTCTATTAAGGCTGATGGGAGATGCCTGTTCCCTGTGAAGGAGGTTTTCCCGAAATGCAGAACGTGTCCAGCACAGCCGACCTACAGCTGTTTGCTGAGTCGTGGCAGGATGGGCTCGGAGCGGTGCTGGGGATGACGGTGCAGTCCTTGGGGCACAGCTGGGCTCCACTCCAGCTCCAAATAGGCCGAGGCACAGGAGGGTTTGGAGACAGGCTGGGATGGTCCACTAGAGCTGTCACTGAATGGTTCTGTGACACAGCTCCTGTGGGGTGGGTGGGCAGCAGGCACAGCCGGGCTCATGCTCGCAGGGCGACTGAGGGGAGGAAAGGAGCTGAGGGTCTGCTCATGCAGATTTTTTTTCCCTCCAGTTTCTCTTATAGCAAAGATGTTTCCTTACATTTTATACTGGCTAAGGTTGGATTTCTGACCTGAGCTATTTTGCTCCCCTCCCGCTATTGTTTTGATGATCTTAAAGTGAAACCTTATCTCCAACCCTCTAATTTTTGAAGAAGGTGAATAACCTGTTCTTGGATCTTCATTTTTACCTGTTTTAAGCCTTTACAATGGGATGAACCGAAAAGGAATACAGGGATGTAGACAGACAACTGCTTCTGCCCCTCCTAGGGCTGTGCTTCAAAGTCTGAGCAGGCACAAGAAAATCAGGACAGTCAGTCTGATTGGGGAAGCCTTGCCTTGCACTGGCCACTTCACACCTACACATGGGGAGCAGCTCAAGCACCTGCAGATGTGCAAAGGAAACCATGAGATTTTCTGGCACTGTAGCTCTGAAAGCCAAAATTGAATTAATAATGCTCTTGCTCCTGAAGGATGAGTACTGGCTCCACGTGTTCCAGGGACAGCTGTAAATGTTGGTGCCTCACCTTGCTCTATGGAGAAAGTGGTGGCTGGTTGTGCTTTGCAGCTGCTGGTAGGAGGCAGGTGTGCAGAGATGTGTGTGAAGTAGGTTTCAGATTATCCTGGGATAAACAGGTGAATCCTCTTGGGTTGGGATGTGCAGGAGGAAGGAGAAATGCCAAGTGATACCCTCTGTGAATGCCCTGGTGCCCATCTGTTGGACACATATCTCTGGGATAATCCTGGTGTCTGTTAGACAAGATGATCCATTTGGGATTACTGCAGCCAGCTGGGACCCGTCACTGTGCATGTGTGAATAGAACTAAAGGATCCCATACTGATGTGCCTACCACTGACTCATAAATTCATTGCGTGGCAGAAATTTGACTAACAAAACGGAACACTCTTGCACAGTGACACCCACAGCTGTGCTGTCAAACGGGCTAGATGTGGGAGAGGAACATCACCCATTTCCCCTCTCTTTAAACTGATACTGTCATATGATCTAGTAGTTGCTTCTGTCTGGTTTTATATCAGTGAAGATCAAAATGACCCAAAAGCAAGCAAAATGAAGTCAAATCCAATGAATAATGCAAGCTTCTGCCCTGCTAACAGGAGATGTTTCTGTTTCCAGGTAATTATTGTCATCATCGATGCCTCTGGTCCCTCTTGCCAAACCAAACTCTTACAGGATGATCATCTGCAGGTGGTGGGGCTGCAGCCAGCCAAGTCTGTTAATATATCCATGTCAGAAGAACCTTGCTCCGAGCTTTTTTGGTCAGATTTGTGTTAATTTTTTCCCAATTTGTCATGGCAGACTGAAAAACCTGCATAGTTACTGATTAGAGTTATTCCATAGATGAAAAATTCTGTTACTTTTGGAAACAAGTAGTGTCAAATCTGATTGTCAGATTAGGCCAAGACTCTCCAGCTCAATGGGAAACTGAAGCAAAACTTGGTAAAATGGTTGATTGGATATAGGACTTGAAGTTCATTCTAACTGATGTTGGGGAACCAGCAAGAATGGCTTTTGGGTCCTGTCCTTTGTCTCTACCCAGCATTCCTGGCACAGCTCGTTATTTCCTGACCCTTTGGATATGATTTTCATTGACTGGAATGTTTGAGATACACATTAGCAAGATTGTACAGACCTGTTCCCTCCTGCTCCAAAGCAACTCTTGGTGATAGGAATCCTTCCTCTGTCCCAACACCTGCGCAGCAGCCAGGCAGGTTCCTTACCAAGGACAATCCTTATCCCTCTGTCCCCTGTCTGTGAAGGTCTCTGTGGTGGAAGGGGCTTTGTGAAAGGTAAATCAGCAGGCCCAAAGAGCTGTTGAGTGGGCTATGATCTGGTGTTTGTGTCTTCCCTCTGTTTCCAAGGTCTCAGGAGGGCTGTGTGCCAGGGGTTGGTGGAAATACTCCCCTAGGGTTGGGTGGAGTGAGGGCCTGGCCACAGGGACAGGCTGTGGGCATGTCCTGGCCATCCCCGGCCACCACCACAGCTCTGCAGGACCACTGGGTGGGACTGGAGACAGAGCCTCCCCTGTGGCACTTCACTGCTGCTGCTGCTCTGTGATCCAGAAAA